GTAAGCCTCATGCCTCCAGGGCTCTTGGCATGTGGCACTCGGCTGCCTGGCTTCAGTGGTGTCCGAAGTGACCTGGGCAAGGCCCCGCAAAAACTCCTGGCTGAAGCCCATCTGGCAGAGCTTCAAGTATGTGGTTGGCCTGGCTTCCCCTTTTCCCAGTTTGCTGGAAGCCTTCGCACTGCTCGCCCTCGGCAGGCTCAGGTCCTTGGGGCTGGGGCCTCACAAGGATGGGAAAAAAGAGCCTTTTTTTTTTTTTCTCTCTCCCCAAGAACATGAGGCTCCCGCCAAGAAGCCATGCTCATGAGTAAGATGTCAGAAATGCTGCCCGCAAAACAAAACGGTTATTTGTTGCAGGCTCCCTGGCACCAACCTTCTGGTGAATCATTTATTCCTCTGCTTCTTCCCGTAAGAGCAAACAAGCACATGCTCCCAGTTGCAAACTGGGCTGCTCACTGCCCACCCGGCTCACAGGCCACCGACATGCTCACCAGCAGGATACTGGTTCAAACGTCCCCATCCAGCTGTGGGAGGGGTGAGAATTTTTTTAAAAGAGCAGCAAACCCCTGCTCGAAAACATCACCCTGACTGTTCAGGCTCTTGGCTGCTTCATTACAGTGCTGGCAGCAGCCACATCCCATTGTCCAAGGGGTTGGCGGCATGCCGGCGGGCTGTGCTGGATCGCACCAGCTCCTGTACCCACCTTCCTCATCCTGCTTTCTTCCCGACCCCGGCAGAAGCGGGATCCAGCCTTGTTCTGCCCAAATCCCTTGCTGTACATCGCTGCCCCAGGGGGGTTTGATGCCCATCTGGGCTTGCACGGGGGTGTGGGCTCACTGCATGCTCTTCCCCCTCCTCAATCAGCCAACGCATGCAAAAAATCCTGGGGCACATCTTCCTAGGGATGTTCTGCAGCCCAAAACCCACCAGGGCAGTCGTAGTCAGATATCCCTGTCGGGAGCAGGGTGGAGTCGGACAGGAAGAAGCAGCCCCTCACCCTCTGCACCCCCCCAAAACCCTCCTCTGTCTCCCCAAAGTGCAATTGGGGCTTTTCAGCATGGGGATGCCCCTCTGCACAGGGTCCTGGTGAGTGCTGGGAGGGAGCCAGGTGGGACAGCAGGAACAGGGTGGGCTTTGAAAGGAGGGAGAGCAAAGCCCTTTTTCTGGGGTAAATCCACCCGATCCAGGGGCTGCCGTCCCACAATGGGGAGGGGCAGGACAGCGGTGCTCTGAGAATGTGAACAGCCTGTTCCTGCTCTTACGGCAATGGCTTCAGGCTGTTGGCAAGGAGCCACCGAGCCCCTGAGCTCCCAGCCACACTGCCAGAAGCGAGTGCTGAGCAAGCGGTGGGACCCATGCCGGCCCTCGATGGGCCATGTAACCCACCGAGCCGCTCTCAACCCAGCTGAACAAGCCTCCTGCAAACCTCACGGTCCTGCATTCGCCTTGCAGACCCTTCCCTCCAGGCATGCAAAAGCCACCCTCCACCCCGCTGTTTCGCTTTTCTGCACCTTCCCTCCGGCACTTGCCCCAAAAGCCATCACCCACCACATCCCCTTAACTCTGCCTGGCCCCGCTCAGGAGCAGCCCTGGGAACTGAAGCACCTCCCCAAGGGCTGGGGGTGTGGGTGGGAGCAGGGCCAGGCAGAGGCACCCAGCCAGCAGCAGTAATGAGGACTGAACTTTGTCTCTCGGCTTTCTAGTGTCTCGTTTGTTCAGGTGCAAGGGCAAATAAATGAAATAGCTGGAAATGCAGATGGGGAGGTAGGGATTTCGGTGGGAGGTTGGCAGCAAGCGTGGGTCAGTGAGACACCAGCTGTAATCCCACTTGTGGCAGGGGTTTGTGGGAAATGGGATCCCTAAATGGACACTCAGAAATGAGGGACAAGGAACAAACCAGCTGTGCTCGGTCCGGGTGGCTGCCAATTGCCCCTGGCCAGCATCCCAATGCCACAGGTGCCTTTGCCTCCACACAAGCTGCAGAAGCAGATAATGCCCCATGGAGGGACCCCAGCAGCCCAAAATGGGGAACCTCTGCTGGGCTCCTGCCAGCAGCTTTTTCAGCAGCACATACATCAGGTGTTGGGACTGGGGTGCAAACACCCACCCAGAAAACCCCACTGAGCCCAAGCCCTCCTCCCTCCATCCCCTTGCCCATCTCCACCAGCCTCCCCGCTTCTCACAGCAATTCCTTAATTATCACCACAACCTAATAAACCTCATTACCAAGGTAATGTGTCACCATTACCACTTCCTTGTACCACCAAGGAAGTAGCTGAGAAGGGAAAAAAAAAAAAAGAAAGAAAAAGAAAAAAAAAGAAATCTCTATATTCGTGTGGGCTTGGGACAAGTGATGTCAGGGGCTGGGACTTTCAGATCTGCACCCAGATTACGGGGACGGCCAGAAAACCTGAATGCCTACAAGCGCAGGTGACAAACACCTTTGCCCTCCTCCTGGTGCAAACCCTCTGCTCTTTCTGAGTGGGATAAAACCCATTTCTCAGAAAAATATGAGGGCTGAGTTTCCCTTTATCAGCCTCTCACTCGGCTTCCAGGAGCCAGCCACCAAGCAGGAAGGATGCTGATGTTTCCAAAACCCACATAGTTTGTAGCTCTGTGCCTTGGTGGTTTTTTGATTCAGACAGTTTTTATGTTCCTGCTGCTTTCTTGAAGCTTTCTTCTTTCTTTTTTCCACCCCTCAACCTTCTTTTGGAAGCCACAAGACTTCATCACGGCTGCAAGACCTCGTCATGGATGCCCAAACCAAAGAGAGGAAAAACCCCTTGAAACCCAACATGCAAACCCAGCAGTTGGGGGACCCCCGCTGCTGCTGCTGGTTTTAGCTTCCGCGGATGGGGATTGAGCCCTCGGTGGTGGTTTGCAGCTGGGGAGGGGGCTTTGGGGGGCTGGTGGGTGTCCCCCACCAGTGGCATGTCCCCGCTGTGACTGAGTAACCCCAGCGGCGCACCTCTGCCCTAACCTGCCCAGGGCAGGAATCGTTTATCAGCCCAAGAGGGCAAAAAGCAAAGAAGCGCAGGTGAGGCACCCGCCCCGTGGCATCGCCCGACCTGTGGGCATCCCCCTCTGCCTGCCCCGCAGACCGTGCCCGGGGCTGCGGCTCTCTCCCCCAACCTGGCCTTAAGCGCCCAGCCCACCCAGGGAGCCCACTCCACCCTGCAGCCCGTCCCCTGAGAGAGCCGGTGTGCCCATCCCAGTGCCCTGCGTGGTGTCAGGCAGGGTGGCCCCACCCTGGCAAACCCTTCCTCTTACCTATAACTAGCCCAGGCACCTGTGCACCTGCTCCTCAGTAGTGCCAAGCTGCCATGGAGAACTTCCCCCAGTCCATCAGCATCAACATGCAGCCCTACGGCAGGAACGGGGCAGGCTCCCCAGCCACCGCCTTCGGCCCCACCATCACCTCTTTTGTTCAGCCGGAGCCTGTCCCCAGCCCCCCGGACTTTGTGCTCTGGTCCTTCTTCAACACCCTGTACGGCAATTTCTTCTGCCTGGGCTTCGTCGCGCTCATCTTCTCCATTAAGGTGAGGTAAAAGTCACCCCCGCCCCACCAGTCCTGTGCCTGGCTCAGGGGTCCCGCCTGCTGCCTGCCCCCATACCAGGGCTCCCTAATCCCATCTCTTCCTGGCTCATCTTGTCCCACCCCACCGAATCCCATCCCATCTTGTCCCAAACCGCCCCATCCCCACCTCCATCCCCATCTTCCCCCTCCCGCTCCCTCCTGCCGCATCCAGCCCCACCACGCCGCTCTGCACCCAACATCCCCAGCAAAGTCACCATTCCAGGGCCACCCATCCTCCTTTGGTGCTTTGGGAAAGGGGGACTCAGGCAGCGTGGCAGGTCCGGCTCTCCTCCCACGGGCTCGAGCAAGCCCCGAACCATCTCCTGCCAGTGGGGTAAGGTGGGCAGCCAGCTCCTGGCTCCCTCCCACAGTGCTCCTGAAATCATGGCAAGGCTTCGTCCCTACCTGAGATAAGAAACGGCTGCTCCCTTTTCCTTTATTACCTTGAAAGTGAATAATTTTTAATGGGCGCCTTGATAACCCCTCCGCCCTGCTCATCTGATACCTACCTGCCTCACTCGTGGGGGGAGACGTGCGGCTCCTGTGGGACCTTTCTCCCCACTCCCACTGGACAAGGGGGTGTCCTCAGGCACCCTCCTGGTGCACCCTGACTGAGACAACCCTCTTCAGCATGAACCCGTGGGGCGAGCTCAGAGAAAATAAAGCTCCTTCCCCACCCTTCTCCTTGGAAATGTCATGATTCTGGGTTTGGGGAGACGTTATTCCCCCCAGGCATCCCTATCTCAGGGGGCCGGGGCTGCCCGAAACTCAGATGAGCGGGGAGGGAGGGCTGAGTGAGGAAGAGCAGCAGGAAAGGGGCTTGGCAAGGGGGTGCCATGTCTGTGCTGTTAGTTAAATAGCAGCACACACACCCTCCCCAGGCTTCTGGGGTGCTCAGAGACGCCCTGCACCCCTCCCGGCTCACGTTATCTGCCGTCCCAGTCCCATCCGGAGATGGCCACCGCCAGGCTCTGCAGTCGCTGCCGGGGAACCCGGGGCTCAGCGGGGGAGCTGGGGGGGGTCCCACCTTTCCTTGCAGCCGCCTGCCCCTCGTCTCAGCACCCTGAAACCATCTGCCCAGCCCACTCCCGTCCCTGCCCCACCTCGGTGCCGTCTCCGCACCCTTCGCTGCCAAGGGAGCGGCCCTCCAAGGGGGAAAATTTCGCTTTGGAGTCCCCAGAGTCCCCCCCGACTCCCCACAGCTGCCCCACACCCGCCGGGTGGAGGTAGAGGGACACGGGCAACCGTGCCCTGGGTGGCAGCCACCCCAGGAGGGGGGCTGAGCCCACCCACCTGCCACCCGGGAGGCCCCGGGCCGGGG